TTAAGATGTTATTTTTACTAGAACATAGGTATTGTGTTGGAAAAAGTGGAGTTTGGGGGTCAGCTGGTCTCTATTTCATTTAATCCCATATGTTATGTTATTCACTTTACGCGTTTCTCACTTTCCGCGGTACCCTGTGGGTTACATTAACCGCGTAAAGTGAGGGTTGACTGTATATATATATATATATATATATATATATATATATATATATATATATATATATATACAGACAGACTTACGACCCGACTTACGACCGTCGGGACTTACGACCGCCTCAGATTTTTTATTAAAAAAAAAAAAAAAAAAATTTTCTTCAAATGACACGCATTTTCTATACCGAAACGTTTCCAGTTAATGTAGTCTCCATGTATAATTAGAAAATTATGGGGGCCCCATGTGCATTCAGCTGACTACATTAAAGGTAAGTGCTCAGTCACACTGTAACCATTCCTTATTATTTATTACTTTCACTGTACTGTATCCATTCCTCATTATTCATTACTTTTACTGTACTGTATTTCATTGTAGATTATTTATTTAAAAAAAAAATTTTTTTTTTTATCTATGTCGGACTTACTGACCTGGATTGGGTCCCTAACCCCGTCGTAAGTGGGTATACTTATGTATATATATATATATATATATATATATATATATATATATATATATATATATATATATATATATATATATATATATATATATATATATATATATATATATATATATATATATATATATATATATATATATATATATAACACCTATATATATTTCTACCCATGACTTACGACTGCTTCGACTTAAGACCGTCGGGACAGTGTGACCATTTTTTTTTTCAATTTTTTCAATTTTTTTTTTCTTCAAATGACGCACGCATTATATATACCGAAACGTTTCCAGTTTATGTAGTCTCCATGTATAATTAGAAAATTATGGGGGCCCCATGTGCATTCAGCTGACTACATTAAATGTAAGTGCTCAGTCACACTGTATCCATTCCTCATTATTTATTACTTTCACTGTACTGTATCCATTCCTCATTATTTATTACTTTTACTGTACAGTGACCCCTCGTTTAACGAACACCTCGGTTAACGTAATTTCGATTAACGAACTGCCTTCCATAAGGATCTTCAATTCGGTTAATGAAAAAAAATTCGGTTTGAAGTTCTTACGAACTGACCTCAACATGTTTTTTGCTTGCACTGACCGGGCAACCAGCTTTAGTATCAGTCCGCCAATACATTAATCGGTTCTAGGGCTTAAATTCCTTACTATTTTAGTAAATATCAAGAAGTTTATACTATTCAATAATTTTAAAAGTTTAATATTCAATTTTTTAGTCATTTTAACAATTATTGAACATAATTGAAGGTAAAGTGACTAGTTTAATGCGCGGCATCCAGCCTCTTAACACAGCAAACAGGCGTCAGTCTCTCTCTGTTTTCACTGGAGGTAACATCTTGCTTGAGACTCTCTTCAACTAAACGCTTTTTTTCTGTGTTTCCAAGCAAATTATTGGTCATTTTGAAATATATTTTATATATTGACAATATATAATGCAGTGCAGTGTTGATTTAAAGAAAATAATCTTGAATTACACCAGAGAGCTAAAATTTTATGGGTGAAATGGCACCATGGGGTGACTTCTCTTCCACCCCAATGCCTTCTCTTCTTCCTTCTCCTCCACCCCCATTCTAAATCCCATCATCATCATCATCATCCAGGAGCCTTCTACATACACACCTCAAAGTAAGTGAACTTTTCTACCATTTTTGTTGAATTTAGGAAATTTTCGGTGAGCTGGAACCAATTACCCAAAAACCCATTGAAACAATGGTTTCGGTTAACGAACTTTTCGGTTAACGAACGACCTTCTGGAACGGATTGAGTTCGTTAACGGAGGGGTCACTGTACTGCATTTCAATGTAGATTTTTTATTAAATTTTTTTTTTTTTTATCTATGTCGGACTTACGACCATTCGGACTTACAACCTGGATTTGGGTCCCTAACCCCGTCATAAGTCGGGGTCTAGCTATATATATATATATATATATATATATATATATATATATATATATATATATATATATATATATATATATATATATATATATATATATATATTCTTTCAGTGAAGACAAGCCCGGAAGGGCAAAAAACAACGTCATTCACTAAGTGACTTGAAAGCTGAGGATATTAGTCATTAAAGATCGATTGTCTTCCTAAATAGAAGACGAGGCGCGGTCGCCATCATTGACCAGACCGCATAAAAAATTGCCAGAAACACAATATCTGAGACACAATCAAACTAAAAGTCACTCGATTTCTCTCATCGTGCTAAGATGTATAAATACCAAAAATAAAATCCTTGTGGCACTTAATATTTCAGCTATTACAACACAAATTAGCAGAGCTGGCCTTGTGAGTGTTTACAGCTGATTCGCCAGGCAAAAAGATGACGGTAGTAATGAGTGTGATGGAGGGTGCGGGAGGGGGTTAAGAGAATTGCAATTAAATGCCAGGTAGTGACGTGTCCTCCTAATATTATGTATCTAATTAATTATTAGATGTTTTAATTGCTTGTATGTTGTCCTGGCGAGTTATTGCTAGGCATTTACATACCTAGGTATAAAGCTAGACGTTGTATTCTGGATTGAACATAAAGCAGGTTTTTTCTATAAACCAGTTTTTGTGATATAACCCAAAATGCGACGCCTAGCCTTTAACCTAGGTATGTTAATGCCTAGCAATAACTCGCCAGGACAACATACAAGCAATTAAAACATCTAATAATTACTTAATAAGTAATATTAGGAGGACACGTCACTATGTCATGGTCATGTTGACTGCTAGTCTGTTTTAACTAATGATTCTTATTAAACTCCAAGACCGCAAAACATGAAAGGATAGCTGGTTAGCTATCCCCTAGAAGGAGCGTGTTTTTCCCATTCGTGTTACACTCGTGATCCCTCCCAGTAAGTCCCGCCTTCGAACACAGTTGTCAATACGTTGTTTATTCCACTTCTCCTGGGAAGCTCAATCTTGGATTAGTCTGTGGAAATCAACTCAAGTAATTTGCCAGACCTCTGTCAACTGAGGGTCATCTTTGAATGAGTAACAGTTGAGTTTGTTGGTAATCTCTGTCATTGCTTGAGTAGTGATCGCTGGCAACTCAGGGGTATATATACCACGGGTAAGGGAGACAGAGCGTCCCTGACGTCTGCTCTCCCATTTGTCTCCAGGTATGTTGATGTGTTCCCTAGCCATTCAGTTTGATTCAGTCAATTGTAGTGAATATCAGTGTTCAGGCTTCAACAGTTGAATTGTCATTCACCCAGAGTAAGGAGTAATATAAAGTAACTGTCTTCTGACGTTGCGAGACGAAAGATTTGTTTGTGTTGTCATGCTTCCCAATCCCCTGACGTCTGCTCTCCCGTTTGTCTCCAGATCCAATTGTGGCTCTTGGATCACTCAACGACTGCCCCGGATTCAGTAGATACCCAGCAGGGATCAATACTGTATATGAAACGATGGCACCGATTCGGCATGATTAATCTGCTCCACTGCCTCGTGGAGCCAGACCCCAGACTCGCCATGTGTCTGGCTACCACCGATCACAGCAATGGTCGTGAGCCCCAGTGTTCTACCCTGGGACGCTCCCTGGAAGTTATATGTCCACAGAGTTTGTTGTATATGTATGTTGGGGATAATCAGTTGGAAATAATCATCCCATGTTGGGTGGTGGACCCATGTATCTGCTGGTTTCCGTATTAACATGTATGTTGTGAGTGCATCTCATATGCACCACCAACAGTCAGTAAGTTGTGTAAAGTACCTTGTAATGTGTGAGAAGTAAAGTTGTCCACTTGGGACTAGGAGTAAAGTCTTGTAACTGTAATGAGATGTACCACTAGAAGATGTGGGTGAAGTAGAAGTACCCACTTGGAGTGGCAGTAAAGTAATCTACAAGGAGTTGCCATTTACTATGTATTGTGAGTAGGGCCAAGGAACTGGCCCTGATAGGTAATGTAATCTAACACCAGTAAGGTTGTGTGCAGTAAGAGTGTAGGATCTGAATAATTGCTGTTGAGTAGAAATAAAAAATACTGAGTCTGTAATAAGCGAGGAGTTACACCTTGAAGTTATATGTTAATAATATCTCTTTTTCCCTTTGATTCCATATTAATAAACCTGTTCTTAGAATATTTTAGGAGTATTCATTTCTCCCACAGTAGTTACCTTTATTTCCGTCCAAGTGACTTGATACCAGAATTACCATACCCATGTGCCTAGACCCTCATCCATGCTACCAAAAAGAACTGAGGTTATGTAGTAACCAGTGAACTGAAGTAGGTAAAAAGAACAAGAGAAGTAAGAAAGATAAGGGTGGTGTAGGTGTTGAAACGCGCTCGCCCTTACAACTACCTGGCATTTAATTGCAATTCTTGAAACCCCCTCCTTCACCCCCCATCACACGCACTGCCACCGCCATCTCTTGCTCTTACAGTACTTAGGGTGGCAGATCCCACACTATTTTTAATTTAAATAGCAATGAAAGATGAAGATGGTGTAGAATGTTTCTGTAATTGAAGCAATTTCATTTAAAACAGCCAGAAAAGCACTGGTGTGCAACTTCTCATCATCTAGCATCGTCCCAGAAAAATTCACATTACGCAGAAAATTGGCATGGTTGAATTACCATTGATAAACTTTACACATGTACAGTAATATGTAATCTAAACCAAGGCTGTAAGGTAAAAGTAGACACTGTCAACATGAGAAAATTTTAAGTGTAGAAAATATTTGGCCTTACGTTTCATAATGAGTGCAGTAGAACTTGGGCAAAGTGTATTGACAGTGATGCAAAGCATGAAAATGTGTTTTGCTGCACGATTTCCAAGTTTATTATGGAGGATTTCAAGTCAAGTAAAGCATTTCAAGGTTTGCCTTTGTATAACACTGTTAAAAATATAGTAATACTGTACTGCACCTCCTTAGTGAATGAGAAAGCAGCCACATCTGTCACTGGAGGTTGAGTGTTGGGCATGGCACAAATAAGGGTCACTCCGCCAGCAAGGGCTGCAGCTGTACAAGATGTCCAGTCCTCCTTATGAGTAGCACCTATGAAAGTAAAATTGTCAATTAATTAACATAAACCTAATGTTTATGAATTGGAAGCAGTGACAGATTCCAAGAGCAAAATTTAAGCAAGAACCATCCGAAGATGACATACCCTTGTCATGTTAGTGGGATGCATGGATGGATAGACTCAAAAGTAACAATTTTGGTACATGCACATCATTCATACAAACACTGTATACATCCAGCAAAGTCTTCAGTTTCTGAAAAAATGGGATAAAAAACAATCTGAAAAAGCAAATACTATACGGTACATATTCTGAAACTGAAGGTCACCTTCCTCAAGAACCGTTTTTGTTTACCTTACAAAGGCTATTAATCTCATGCCTGCTCCCGGCACAAGTAACCATCCAATAGTCCCATTCTCTTCAATATACAGTGATATCCCCGTTAGCCGGAACAATTGGTGCAGAGCACTTCCGGGGACGAGAGATTTCCGGCTAACTGGACGACTTTGTCAGACCCGGAAAAATCCCACATCCCCTGAAGTACTTCTGGTTACTGTTTAAGACTTTTCAAGTGTCTAAACTATACATCTTGCACAGACAAACACTAGCTCACATCCTCAGAATGTTTCTGTGTGCTAGGGAGTTTTCCAAGAGTCTAACCTAAAAATCTATATGATACGGTCGTGAATGAAGCTGTGTTACAGCCTGCACTTCGGCACCTCAGCTACCCACAAGGGGTCACAGCTCAAGATGGAAGAAGCCGCAAGTCCAGAAAACTGTGAGAGCAAACTTTTTCGGAGTGAGAGTTGTGAACTCTTGGAACAATGTACCAGAAAGTATTGTGACGGCACCGAGTGTGAGCTCTTTCAAGACAAGACTTGACCAACACTGGAGCGGGTTCAGGTACATTCAGGAGCCGGTGCATGCCCAGTACTTGCGAACAGTGTGTAACAGAGACGTGACCGATCTCCCAAGCGGCTAACGAGCCGATCAGTGGTGAAGAGGATAAAAACAAAAAGGACTGGTATTTTCCACTCCCTTGGAGGTGTGGGAGATTAGCGAGTCTCGTGTAACTGACCTGACCTGACCTGACACAATGTCAGGTGGAGGTACGGTGGGGTATTAGTGATCTCATATTACTGACCTTCTGATAAACTGTCAGGTCACCCATTGTCGGGTGGGGGATTAGTGGGTCTGAGGACCTGAAGATGTCTTGAATAAACACGAAAGCTAAAATACAGTATTTTTTTTCAAGTCAGAATGCGACGCACAGCATGTTACCTAGGCATGTTAAGTCCTAGCTAACTCGCCAGACCAACATACAGGCAATTAAAACATCTAATAATATTAGGACACGTCGCTACCTGGCATTTAATTGCAATTCTCAAAACTCCCTCCTTCACCCCTCATCATACGCATCATGACCTTCATCTTCTTGCCTGGTGATTCAGCTATAAATACACACAAAAGGCAGCTCCGCGAATTTGTGTTGTAATTCCTGAAATACCAAGTCCCACGAGGATTTTATATACGGTATTTATACTTATTAGCACAGTGAGGAAATAGAGTGGCTTTTATTTGGTTTATGTCTCTCAATTATTGTATTTGGGACAATTTCTTATACGATCTTTGGTCAGTCTCATGGCGTCCACTTCACGTCTTTTGTATGAATTCGTGTAGATCGTTCTTGACTATTCCTTGCCTTTTAGTCATTCAGTGAATGTCGCTGCGCCCTCCCGGGCTCATCTTCACTGAAAGAGAATATGTGTATATATCTATTTATATATACATATATATGTATACTGTTTACGGTTTTCTTTGTCCCAAATATTCACGTGCTATTATGAATGCCATGTGACTGTCTTTCTTCCTACTCTTACGTTCGTTCACAAAGAACCTTTGGGCTTCCGCCCTCGGTTTTCTAATTGCTCTCAGCATAAAGACCAGAGTTGAGTTTTCTCTTCATTTTATTGATGTCCTCAGTAGCGGGTTCAGCCCTTCCAGGTGAACTTTAGCGAGGCTGCTAGACTTAGCGTTCCTTCCGGAATGTTGACCTTCCGGTCTTCCTAGCAATCTAGAGTTATGTTGAAATGGACTTTGCATCTTCTATGGGTTATATGAGAACAATTCAGGGTGGAATTCACAACCCAATAAATATTGCTAGAGTAATAGTGAACGCTGTTGTCAATAGAGCGCTATGTTTGAGACTCAGCACTGTCAACCCTGCCGGGTGATAGTATGCATGTAGAAATTTTCGCTTAAGTTATTACTTGGGGGATAATGTCTGTGCTCCTGATTGGCAACAAATGCAGATCTTGATGATCCCTCTCAATAAAATGTTCTAAATGAAATTATTTTATGAAAAAAAATACAGAGCTAAGGGATACTTGAGATAAGAGTCGGGAGAGAGATACGAAATAGTGAGTTAATTGTTTATAATTGTCAAACGAGTGACTTATATAACAATAAGAGATCTTAATGAATTAACTTGCTAATAATATAACAATTATGAGTCATATTGATTAAGTTTGGGAGAAAATGTTTTCTCCCTTATATTTTTATAATGATATAATGTGACTCATAGTGTTCCTCCTAGTTTAGATGAGTGATGTTCAACTGGAGGATGAAGGACAGGAGTCCGGGCCTATGGATGATGGAGGAGACTATGGAACTGTCCCTGAGGAGATAGTATTGAGTGATGAGCTGCAAGGACTAGAAAGTTCAACTCAGGCACTACATACAAGGAATTATCTGTCAGTAGAGAATTTGAATTCAGTAGCAGTAGTTTCACCCAAAACCCAAGGGGGCCATACTACATGTAATTATAAAAAATGTACAGCGACTTGGATTACTAAGATAGATCCTCATGTAGCTTGCATAATTCATGGCAGCTTTGTCTCAAATAACCTATTTTCACCAATGGATTGTGCAGTTTGTTATGATCAAATTTTTCAATTTCATCAAGCTACAGGTGATGTTTTTATACTTACACTTATCACATTATATCCCTTCAACATTACATAACATAAGATTTTAAAATGTGGAGTGAGAAAGCAGAAAGGTGTGGGTGATTAGAGAGTTGGAGTGGAAAGGAGTGGCAGCTGATCTTTTAATTCACCACCACCACGTAGTTAACCATGCATAAATTGATGTCATACAAAATGGGGGTGTTTGACTGTGATGTTGTGGTATTAATTAATAAATAAGCAATAGTGTATTATATCATCAATGACAGTCATTTGATGAATAGTAGCGTACTACAATTGTCACTACTATTCATCAAACTACTGTACTGTCATTAACAATTCAACATTACTTTTACTTTACTTTACATTTATCCTCTTCACCCCTGATCGGCTCGTTAGCCGCTTGGGCGATCGGTCATGTCTCTGTCACGCACTGTTGGCAAGTACTGGGCATGCACCGGCTCCTGAATGTACCTGAGCCCGCTCTAGTGTTGGTCAAGTCTGGTCTTGAAACAGCTCACACTCAGTGCCGTCACAACACTTTCTGGTACAGTGTTCCAAGAGTTCACAACTCTCACCCCGAAAAAGTTTGCCCTCACAGTTTTTTGGACCTGCAGCTTCTTCAATCTTGAGCTGTGACTCCTTGTGGGGCAAGTGTCCGTCAGCTACAAGTGAGGACACTCGACTGAGTAGTGCCCCTGAGATGCTTATACACCTCAATTAGGTCGCCCCTTGCCCGTCTTTAGTATAAGCTAGGAAAGTTCAGGCGCTCCAATCTCTTGGGGTAGTTGAGGTGCCGAAGTGCAGACACCAGTCTGGTGGCCCTCCTTTGAACATTTTCAACCAACTGACAGTCCCTAGCATATCTTGGGGACCAGACAGGGTGACAGTACAGTACTCCAGATGGGAGAAGCACTTCACGATTGAAGATCTTTAAGAGGGACGGACCGTCTAGATATCTGAACAACCTTCTTATAAGACCCTATAATTTATTTGCCTGATTTACCTTCTTCTTGCAATGGCCCGAGAACTTCAGCTCATTGTCAACATACACACCTAGGTCCTTCTCACATTCAGTCTCAAATAGTGCAGTTTCTTCATCCTGTTGGGACATATGATACGCCTCCTCACCGTTGGTATGCCCCAGGTGCATCCTCTTACACTTCGTGACATTGAATCTCAGCAGCTATTTCTTCGAACATTCTTCGAGCTCACAGAGATCCTTCTGCAGCTCTTCACAGTCCGCTTGGTTCTTGATTTCCCGAATAACTTGGCGTCATCGGCAAATATTTGTCTGGAGGAGTGTACAACGTTAGGCATGTCATTTATGAAACAAACAAACAACAACGGGCCCAAAACACTGCCCTGTGGTACCCTGCTTGTGACAGGTACAGATGATGATTTCGTGTCAGTAATCACCACACACTGCTTGTGGTCATGTAGAAAGTCTTCTATCCACGCAAGGACATTTCCCCGAATTCCGTACCCTTCTAGTTTGATTTTCAGCCTTTCGTGGAATACACTGTCAAAAGCCTTGGCAAAATCTAGATATACGAGGTCTGTCCGGAAAGTATCCAGCCATTTACTATTAAAAAAAATATTGCTTACCTAGGACAATGGCGCCTTAGTCCCCTTCAAGTACTCCCCTTGGGACCTCACAAACTTTTCCCAGCGTCCCTTCCACTTTTCAAAACAGTCTGCAAAGTCCTCTTTCGGGATCTTCATCAGCTGCCTCGTCGCATTCTCCTTAATCTCGTCCACGGTCTGAAATCTCCTCCCTTTCAACGGCGATGTTAGCTTTGAGAAAAGCCAGAAGTCGCAGGGAGCCAAATCTGGGCTGTAGGGGGACTGAAAGACCTGGGCGATGAGATGTTTTGCCAAAAAACCCTGCACGAGACGTGAAGAATGTGCGGGCGCATTGTCATGATGAAGCTGCCAGTCACCACTTGCCCACAGCTGCGGTGGTTTTCTTCTTACCGCATCCCTCAGCCGGCGAAGAACTTCGATGTAGTACTCCTTCGTTATTGTTTGGTCATTGTAAAGGCGACGGTCACACAGTACCCACGCT